TCAATAAACACATGAGGACTTCAAGCTAATGAGCCAGGGTCCGTAGTCCCAGGCCCCCACACGCCTCCCAGTCTGATTCTCTTCCTTCTTTTACAAATACCATCTCTTCCCACATCCCTTGGGATAGCCTAGCAAACTTCTCAAGCCTAGACTTCATCCATTTTTCCTGGTTTGACTCAAAGAGAGGGCCCAGCACACAGTGTTATTTTACCAAGACAAAGACAACGAGGTTAACCTGAGGCACACAAGGCCCCCCTAAGACTAGAAAATGGCTATCACATCCCAATCCACCCCCAGCTGAGGTACCGTTCCTCAGCCGGGACACTCCCCCTACCGTTCCCATGCCTCCCATGCCTGAAATGTTCTGCCTCACAGAATCCCCGTCCTCCCTTAAAGATTCAGTTCACACCAGAGCCTCTGCAGGCAGCTTCTCCCAGGCCTCTCGTGGCTAGGCCCTTCCCCTAAGAATACACCCTCCTCCTCCGTAGACAGATCTACGTAAGCCAACATGGGCTCCGTGGAGGCCTTTCTATCCCTAGCACCTACCACAGTGCTGGGCACATAGTGATATAGATTAATAACGTATTAACAATGCTTCTTGGCTGATTCTGCAGACTAACCCTCCCTAGGTTTCTTATAACACGCTCTCTCATCCCTCACCCTCCTGGTAAGACCCAAGCCAGGCTGTCAACATCCTTCCTAAAATGCGGGGCCCCAACAGAGACATCGAAAAACGGCCAGGACCCTGAAGATGGCTCACTTTTTGGGGCCAGTCTTGCCAAGTTGTTTTTAAAGTAGTTGCAAACATGGCTAATGTGGAAATTTGCTTTGCATGACTGTACATATTTGTAATGGAGTTTGTTTTCCTTGCCTTCCAACGGGGGGGAAGGAAAGAATTTGGAACTAGAAAAAATAAAAATAAAAAAGTCTCTGTGGTTTAAATAAATAAATAAAATAAAGTGGTTCCAAAAGGCTTTGGCAACCATCCCTTAAGGTCCACCTTCAGTGCCAGCCTTCCCTGATGGCCCCCAGTGAGAAGGGACCCTCCTCAGAGATCTCCAAGCACTCTTTGTATCTTTTCTAAGTATTTGTTTTCCACCTCCTCTCCACTGTGTACTAACATCATTAAAAATAATAATGAGAATAATTCACATTTAAATATTGCTTTAAAGTTCACAATAAACCAACAAGCATTTACCAAGTGCTTCCTCCCAATCAGAGCCTCCCCCAAACACTGGGGGCACAGAGCACATTATCTCACTGGACCCTCACATCAGCCCTTTAGGGAAGGTACTATAATTCTCCCTGTTTTACAAATGAGGAAATATAGGCCCAAAGGTAAAATCAGCTGCCCAAAGACAGCCTGGGAATAAGTGGCCAAGCTGGGATTTGAACCTAGGACCCCCAATTCTCAATTCTCTCGTTCTTCCATTATACCATGCTGGCTGACTCCTGACTGCAAGGGAGAGTGTCAAGACAGCCAGATCTCAGGCCCAGCTCTGTCAATGACTTGTTGTGAATTCTCAAACAGGTCAATTCATAAGAGGAGGCTCAGCTGTGCCCATGTTACCAAGGCGATTCCTCAGTACCCTACAGAGAAACATGGCTGGGCACAGGGACAGTCAAAAACTTACACCCAATGGGTCATGAAAAGACTTTCTGAAATCCCCTCTATCCTCAGACACACCAGCTACTGAGGTCTAATATTTGCAAACTGAGGGACAATTTGGTATGTTGCAGAGTGCTAGAATCAGACTCGGGAAAACCTGGGTTTGAGGGTTATCTTCAACACTTACCACGTAACCCTGGCCAAGTCATTTTACCAACCTGGGCCTCAGTTTCCCTCGTCTGTAAAACCTCATTCGCAGGGCTGTTTTGAGGATTCAATGAAATAACAGAAGTAGAGCACCTGATAGATCTTTAATGCTGCAGAAAAGTGAGCTGGTAAAACTATTATAATCTCCTCCCCCTCTCCCGGAGGGCAGGAGCCTTTCATTTTTGGTCTTTGTATTGTCAAGGCCGAGAATAGTGCCAGGTACATCACCGGTATCACTGAAGGGCATGTGGTTTAATTTCCCTCAATTTGTCACATGAGGAAACTGAGGCAGGGAGCTTCAGTGACTTCTTCAGGATCATATAGTTAATAAGTACCTGAGGCAGGATTTGAACCCAAGGCCAGCACAACATCCACTACTCCATGGTGCCTCCCTTAGGAAGCACTCAATAAATGCTTACTGACTGACAGAATGTAAGCTCCCTGAGGACAAGCCTGTTTCACCTTTGCCTTTGTATCTCAGGTTCTAGCCGTCAGCCAATAAGCATTGATTAAGCACCTACTATGTGCCAGGCACTGTGCTAATCCTCTGTTAGGCTCATAGAAGATACTCCGTAAATGCTAGCTGACTACAGCGTTAATGAGACTCTTGGCAAGAGGCAGAAAGGAGATGTTTTGCTTCTAATTAAGAAAACAACCAGCAGATAGAAGAGCAAATAGGAGGTTTTCTGGTTTGCAACAATCACCTCTATTTGACTTGCTCTGATTAAGGAGTCAGGCCCCCACCCCACAGCTTCCAAATTAGCAAATGCCACTGGTGAACCAACTATTGACCCTCCCTTCTTTCTGTCCTCCTTCCATTGTAAGACAAAACTCATTTGATATCGGCCCTTATGGTCTTCTTCCAACAGAGAAAAAAACCTGAGATCCCTGACATCTCTCCCCAGTTCCTATTCTAGTAGGAAAGCATGTAATAAAATGCTGAAATACAGAAAGGGGGATGTAGGAAAGAGGAGAAATAGAGGGATAAGGGTGGGTGGCAAGGAGGTAAAATTTCAAGGAAGGGCTGACGAACATCCATCTTCCTCCCCAAACCTAGTGCCCTCTCTCGCCACCCTCCCCAATAATGAGATAGGCTAAAGCCCCCTGAAAAGCAGCAGCTAGCCCGAACAAACGGCTTCCTGCTGGAAGGAAGCCTGTCATCACATAGCCGTGGGGAGTGTGAAGACGCTGGCTATAACCCACACCAGCTGTGGCCATCCCTCCCCTCCTGGGCTTCCCAGGACTAGAGGTGAAACCTGACCCAAGCACACATCCCTTGGGCTTAGAAGTCAGTAAGTTCACTCCCCCACTTTTAATACATACTGAAAAAAATCATGCCAGACTCAGCATGGAGAAAATTCATCTGTACATGCAATTCATTTATTTTCTTTTTCTTTCTTTTTTAAAGCCAACTCATTTTACTAAGCAATGCCCACAACACAAAATCCAAGACCACGCTTGATAGATGACATTTCTCCCTTTTGTGCTTGGGCAAGCACGGAACCCTTGCTTAATCTCTTTGGGGGGGGGGGCACAAAAAAAGAACTCCAGATGTGTCTACCTCGGAAACCCATTCTATTTCCAACAAGTCATTCAATCTTCTGACTTCCAACCTACCCCAACCTCATCCTCAAGCAAAAACAAAACAAGACATTAAAAAGAAACACACCAGCTATAATTTGCAGCAAGCATGGTATAGTGTAAAGGGTACTGACCTTGGGTTCCAATACCATTGGACATAACAGACTGGGCGAGTCGCTTTATCTCACTTAGACTCAGTTTGCTCACCTGTATAATAAGGGAGTTGGCCTATAGCCTCTGAGGCCCCTTCCAGTTCTAGACCTATGATGTGTTTCCACGCTACTTAGGAACTATGGTATCCCACAGGCAGGGCACATGCCACCAAGAACCCCTGAAAAAGGGATGCATTAAGCAAGTTAAGACTAAAATTTCCCTGCTGGTCCAAGTATCTCCCATCATTCCACCACAGCTCTCAAGGAGTAATCCCCAGGAAAGTTGTAATGAATAAAAAGGGGGTCCAGTCTTTTAAAAGACCAACCCCAAGCTTAGAACTTTCCATAATGTCTTTTTCTTTCTTTCTTTCTGAAGCTGTTAACACCTTAGAGGTAACATTGAACAAAAACAAACAAATAAACAAAAAGGCCTTTCAGAAACAGAGGGTTCCCAAGAGTTAAGTTGGAGAGAACAGTCACAGAGCCCTCCCTCCGCGTGCTCCAACACCGGCCTGATGAGGAGGGAATCTTCTCCCCTCAGGTAGTAGGGGCGCTCAGCTCATTGCCTCCTCCACTGGGCAAGCCTGGCAGAGAATATGGATGGGACAGGATCTGGGATTGAGAGCTAAAAAAGAACCTCACAAGAGTCCAAACCCTCCACTTTATGCATGAAGAAACTGAGGTTCAAATGATAAGGTTCAGTAAATGCTGACCGATGGCTTCGACTGGCCCAAATTCACACAGTTAGGGACCGTTTTCTGCAGGCTTTAGGCAATAGACTACCAACCATTCGTATGATCTTAGAAGTTGCCCGGGGCATTTCGAGGTTAAGTGACTGGCATGTGCATGGTCTCACAGCCAGTATGTCTTAGAGGCAGGGGGTGAATTTCTAAGTTCCTGGCCCCTCTCAGGTTCGGGAGAGTTGGGATCCTTTTAGAGGATGGAGGAAAAAAGAGCTTTTGACTGAAGGAGAAGGCAACGTTCAGCAGCCAGCCGAGGCGAGCTGCCTTCTTTTCTGAGGTCAGAGAAAAAGCGTCAGCTGAGTTTTGTGGGTTTTTCCAGGAGGAGCAGGATTAGCCTCGGGGCTGGACAGAGGCGATGCCCCCCTACACACACACCAAGGGGGAATGAAAGAAGGCATTCGGCCAGAGGCTTCCATCCTTGCAAACCGTGCTCTTCCCCGGATCTCCGGCAGCCCTCCCCCGTGACTCCTCCCCATTTTCCCAGCCCCAAGTGGGGCACGGTTAATCCGCAGCCTGGCCGGCCTGGCCCGCTGGACGCCGGTCGGTTGCATGCGCCCCGGCACGTAGAAAGGGAAGGAAGCAGGCGGGAGGGGAGCGGGAGGACAGCAACAGTCAGGGTCATTTTCTCTCTCATCACACGCGCGCGCGCGCGCACAAACACGCACACACACACATCCACAGGCCAGCTGCGGCTACCTCTCTGCTCACCCGTGTCTGTCCGGATGTTCTCCCGAAGGAAGTGGCCGCTGGAGAGATGCTGGAGCCCGAAGCTGGCGGCGATCCTCTGGCACACGGTGCCTTTGCCTGAGCCCGGGGGGCCCAGGATGACGGCCCGAAGGAGTTTGGAAGCCATCGCCTCTCGCGGAGGGGGCGAGACCCGGGACGGATGGAAAAGCCCAGAACTCTTCTCTTCTTCCCTTCCCCGCCCCCGCCCGCGTCGCTGCCCCTGCAAAGAGAGGACACTTGGAGCCTACCCCCCCCAACCCCGCAGCTGGCACACGCAGCCCCCAGCTGCCACGCCACGCCGCCCCAGTCCAGCCTGGCTTTATCCCCCGGCCCCCCTGCGCCGGGGTGGGGTGGGAGGGAACGCTGAGCCGGGAACGCCGGGTCAGCCCCTCAGCTCCCACCCCCAACGCTCCCGGAGTGAGGGACCAGCGCTTGGGAATCCCAGAGCACTACGCCCCAAGCCCCGGGAGGGATGCACCCACGAGCCCTGCCCCGGGCCGGCCGGCCAGCCCCACGCACCCCCGCGGGTCCCTTCGCTTTCCCTCGCTCTGCAAGACTCCGGCGGGCCAGCCCAATATATGTATGTGTGTGGGGGGGGGGTCCCTCCTCTCTTCCCACCCAGTTCTCGCACGTGGGCAGCGTTAAGTAAGCAGCGCCTCCTCGAGCCCTCCCGTGGCCCCTCCCCGCCGCCGTCCACGCCCGCTGCCGCCACCGCTGCCCACCGGCCGTGGGAACTCGCCCAGGAGCCGGATCTCCAGGGGAGGCGGCGGCGGGGAGGCGGGAGGGGGGCGGCGCTCCCACCGCCGGGCTGTGATTGAGCCGGGGCACTCGTCCGCCAGCCGGGCCCCTCTCCCGATAGGGGGGAAGGGGAGAGGGCGGAGCCCCAACTCTCCGACTTGGGGCTGAGGATGGGGGTGGGAGGGAATGAGGCTGAAAAAAAAACCACCCTAAGAAAACACCTCGGTGGCTGATTAGCAGCCCGAGGAGTGGTCAGCTAGTGCGGTCCGCGTGGAGCCCCAGGCCCCGGCCGCCCCGACCCGCTTGCCCAGCCCCCCCATGCCTCCTGAAGCAAGACCTCGTCCTTGTCACAGATCTAGAGCTTGGAAGGGACAAATCTCTCATTTTACAGAATAGGAAACTGAGGTTCTGAGATGTTAAGTGATACGCTCACGGTCACATAGGTAGTAAGCGTCAGAGGCAAGATTCGAACCCGAGTTTTCCAGACTCCCAAGTCCATTTCACTTACCCTTAGGATAAACTAGCTTTGTCAATTTGGACTCCACCCCCCCCCCCCCCTTTTTCCTTCCTTTCCCCTCCCCCTCCCCTTTATTCCTACCTGATTTTGTCGATTTCGCTCCTTCCTCATCCCCGCCCCCTCCTCCTCTAAGCCAAACTGGTTTGGTCGTTCCCATCCCTGGCCAGTAGGGTGGGTTAGTGTCATTCCCCCCTCCCACTGGGCGCGGTAGAGCCCCGCCCCAAAACCACTCCTCACCTTAACCTCTGGACCAGGTAGGGGGGCTTCGATTCTGTCGCTGTGCCAGGACAGGTTGGGAGGGTAGTGATCTGCCGGGGCCGCTTTCTGCTGCACCTTCAGCCTCAAGGTTGTGGGACACGCCCCTACGGAGTGAGAGGCAAGAAGAAGGAGGTAAACTTTTCTGTCTTCTCACTGCCCTGGGCACTACATTTCCCCGCTCCCAGCCCCATCCGCGCCCCTTAAGCCACCTCCACCTTCCCTTCCTCACTTCCTCACGTCCCGCCCCATCACCACCACCACCAGGACTGCAGGCCCAATTCCAGGTTCCCCATCCCAGAACCTCTGTCCAGTCGCTCCCCAGGCCCAGCCCCCCAGCAACCCTCAGGCCAGCCCTCGCCCTTGCCCTGCTAGAACCCTGCCCCAAATCATGGGAGCCACCAGCGGTGCTGTGCAGCTGGGGGGCGGCAGGATCTGGTTCTTGCTGCCAGGGACGCAGTGGAGGGAGCCGCGTTCCTACAATGAGCCCCAGCTGGAACTCGGAGCCCCAGGGCCCTTAGAAACATTGTTGCACGCCGCAGCCGGGTTCTAGAGCACAAGGCGTGGAACGCCATGAGGTGCTGGGGGCCGGCCGCCTTTGAGCCTCACCTCTTAAGTATCACCCCGTTTCTCTGGGAAAGTGAGTTTCAAAAATAGACCACCCAACTCGAAATGAACTTGTGGCGCGGGAGGCCTGGCCCTTTAAAGGGCTGCGTCTGGGAGGTGCCTCGGTCACACCCCTAAGCCAGTGGGAGCGGATGTTGGAGCTGGAGCGGAGCCTCCCCGGGTGCAGCGGCTGCGACCGCGGGTGCAGCCCAGCAGCGCCTCCTAACATCCCCGGGCAGGGAGCGGTGGCTGCACGCCCAGGGCCTCTGCCCTTCTTGGCACCCCTGCTAGCGCCCCTTCCCAACGCCCCCAGGCTGCCAGTGTTGTGCCCTCGGCGCCTCCGCCCATCCGAGCTGGAGAGCCCAGCTAACTAACTCCACCGGCTGCTGCCTCTTCTGCGACCTCCCCTCTTTTCTCCTTGTCTGCCGGTTATTCCCGAGCCCCCACTGGGCAGCCCCAGGGTGCCGGGAGCAGGGAGACAGCAAAATGGGAGGGAACCCCAGGGTTCCTCAGGTCTAGCGGAAGAGGGCCCTGAACGCCCGACCTGCAGGTCCTCACTGGTATCCTGGCCAGCCCAGTGGAACTTTTCTTTGGGAGGTACAACTAGGTAGTAGGTGGAGCTAGGAAGCACAGGGAACAGAGTACCAGGCCTGGAGTCTGGAAGACCTGATTTCAAATGTGACCTTAGACACTTCCCAGCTGTGTGACCCTGCGCAAGTCCCTTCACCCTGTCTGCCTCAGTTTCCTCATCTGTAAAATGAGCTGGAGAAGGAGATGGCAAACCGCCCCAGGATCTCTGCCAAGAAAACCCCAAATGAAATTTGGAACTCAAAATCTTATAAAAGTGAAGGTTGAAAACTATCTTTGCATGTAATTGGAAAAAATAAAATGCTATTAAGTGAAAAAAAAATGGAATCGGAAAGAGTCACAAACAGGACTGAATAACGAGTTCCCTTTGGACAGGGCTTCTTCACGGGGATCCACAGATGCGCTGATTGGGGGGAGATAGATCTGTGTGTCAATATAATTGAACACGTCCTGCGTGTCTTATTTTAAATGTTTCAAGCATTATTCTTCGAAGGGGTCCCTAGGTTTCACCAGTCACGCAAAGGGATCTCTAACACACAAAGGTTAAGAATCCCTGCTTTGGGGACTTTGGGCGGAGGAACAGTCCCCCAGTATGAGGCAGCTGTGGGATTCACCTTCCAGCTCACTGATGCTACAAAGTGGAGATAACGACCGGCATTCGAATCTTCTGTTAGGTATATGCAAACGCTATTCAAATATATAACCTCAACCATCCCAAGAAGGTAGGTACTATTATGTTTTGCAGAGAATGATTAATAACTGCTAGCATTTATATGGCGCTTTGCAAGACCCTTTACAAATATCTCTTTTGATCATCACAACCACCCTGGGAGGTATATGCTATTATTATCCCCATTTTATCTTTTTTTTAAATTTATTTATTACTTTTAGTTTTCAACATTCACTTCTATGAATTTTGAGTTCTAATTTTGAGAATTTTCACTTCTAAGATTTTGAGTTCTAAATTTTGTCCTCCTCCTTCCTCTCCCCCCTCCCCAAGAGGGCATGCAATCTGATTAACCCCATTTTACAAATGAAGCAACTGAGGCAGAAAAAGGTTGTGACTTGCTCGGGGTTGGAGCTAGTAAGTGTCTGGGGCAGGATTTCAGTGGAGTCTATGCCACCATGCCCATAGGCTGAGAGCTGATGTATCTTTTATTAGGAAAGGAGTTGTAGCACCGGAAGCGGTAAGCATCTACTTTGGGCCTAGATGCTGGGAAATCAGTCCACAAGCATTTACTGAGCCCTTATCATGTGCCAGGCACTGAGCTCCCCCTGGAGATGCCAACACCAATAGCAAGTAAACAAATAAACCAAAATCCCTCCTCTGGTGAAGTTTAGCTAGAGCCTTTGCTTCAAAGGGCTAATGCTAGGCCCTGGAATTCAAAGAAGAAAGTGAGACAATCTCAGCCCTCAAAGCAATTTTTGGTCTTGGGAATGGGATACAAGAGGTTCACAGGTAAATACAATCAATGTAAGTAGCAAGAGCTCTTTGCAATGGGGCTTAAAGGAGGCAAGAACAGACATCTTGAGCATCTCTTCCCCAAGGGAGATGCTATCAGTTGATGGAGGTATAAGATTGTAGACTAGTTGTAAAGGCCTTTAATGCCAGACAGAGGAATTTGTATTTGACCCTAGAGGTAAAAATTAACAGGTCTTTTCAGTTACTTCCTTCAAAATCATTCAACCTAATGTATAAAAATATTTATGGCAGCTCTTTTTATGGTGGCAAAGAATTGGAAATTGAGGGGATGCCCATCAGTTGGGGAATGGCTGAACAAGATGTGGTATATGAATGTAATGGAATACTATTGTACTATAAGAAATAATGAGCAGCCAGATTTCAGAAAAACCTGGAAAGACTTACATGAACTGATGCTGAGTGAAGTGAGCAGAACCAGGAGAACGTTGTACACAGTAATAGCAACATTGTTCAGTGATCAACTGTGATAGACTGAGCTCTTCTCAACAATACAGAGATCCAAGACAATTCCAAAAGACTCATAGTGGAAAATGCTATCCACATCCAGAGGAAGAACTGTGGAGTCTGAATGCAGATCGAAACATACTATTTTCTCTTTTTTTCCTTTATCATGGTTTTTCCCTCATGACTAATGTGGAAATATGATTAATATAATTGTACATGTGTATCCTATATCAGATTGCTTAGTGTCTTGGGGAGGAGAAAAATTTGGAGCTTAAAATCTTATAGAGGTAAATGTTGAGAACTGTCTTTAAAGGTAATTGAAAAAATACTATTAAGTAGAATAAAAAAATAAAATCATTAAACTTTAAAAAAAAAAACAACAGTTAAGAAATCTTTCTTAGAAATGTTCAACAATTTCTCACCGGGACATAGAGATGGTCCTGGCTTCTTGACAAATAGGCCCAAGATTCTCCCAAGCTTGGAAAAGTTTCAAGACACGCGCCCAGTAATGGACTTTGTGCCCTTTGGCCGAGAACCAGCCTCATCACCGCAAACAAAATCTTTGCAGATGATACATTTAGAGAATCTTAGAGAATTAACTAAAAAATAGGAGAGTGAGATGAAGGTGCAGATTACATTGAAACTTTCCATAATGATATGAATGGTACTGTGGTGCATGTCAACATGGCTCCCTAGATTCTCATCTGTCACAATATTTATAATAAATAACTTCGAAGTAAGACCCCAGGCCACAGAGTCAGAGGACCCAGGTTCAAATTCCACCACTTGTGCTCACCATCTGTTTGACCTTGGGCAAGTCCCTTCCCTAGGACTCAGTTTCCTTACCTGTATAATAAGAGGATTGCACTAGATGGCTCCGAAAGTCCCAACTCTAGGTCTATGATCTTCCTGGGTATTAGTGCACTTCCTCTCCATCCCCAAAGCCCCATCCTACCTTTCCTCACTTTATTATACAGTCTTCCTCTCACATAAAACTCCATTTTCTGTCTCCATTACTTTGCACTGGCTGAATATTATCTGTGTATACTTATTTGCATAAATGTCATGGCTATCCCTTCCCCTCGAAAAAAGCCCAAACGCCCTTGCGGATGGGTGCTGCTTATTTAATTTGGCTTTGTAAATCCAGCACCTAACTTGGTGTCTGGCACGGAGCAAGCAATTAATAAAATGCTTATCCATTGACTGTCTTGAATGTGGTTTTCAATTTACTTCTCTCTGTTGGTATTTTTTCTCCTCAGTTGAATATAAGCTGTATGAATATAAGCCTCAGACCGTGAGGGGCCTATGGATGCTTAATAAATGCTTCTTCAATTTACTCATTTTGAAGGGATCAGGGCAGCTGCTACTAAAACAGGTGATCAAGGAAAGTTTCCTGGAAGAAGCATTTGAATTGGAGTTTAAGGGAAGGGTAGGAATTCAGCAGGCAAGTGTTGAGAGAGTAGGAAAAAAAACAGCATGAGAGGGAAGGGGTTGGACTCAGTCTTATCATTGAACTTGGAGGTTGTCTAATTCAAACCTAACCCCTTTGTTGTACAGAAGTCTTTGGGGGGAGTGAGGGGTTTTTTTTATCTCTCTACTATTTTATATGTGTGCATGTATATATGTATATACATATACATTCATAAGAAGGATGTGGAAGGAGCTTTTGGGCATTATACACACATACAAATATACATATACATATGCATGTGTGTATTGATGTGTATCCCTTCCCCCAGGTCCTTTGTAGAGATGCACTGGGTGTGGATCCCTGCACGCAATAACCATCTTTTTTTTATTATGTTTGTTAGTTTTTCGGAACTTTTTCCCTGTCTTTTTTCTATTCTGTATACTGAGGAAAGAAGGAACAATCCTTAGAGCCTTCACAGTTGTTCTTCCTGGGGGGTTACACAGATTCTTGCCTGGCATCAATCCAACATGTGGGACTTCAGAAGATTACTTCTAGCCAGGCATAACTGGGGGGCTGATTCAGGGTGATAATAAAAAACTCTTCTACATGACTGTGGATCCTGAAGAACTACTGAGCTGGGGCTGAATTCCAATAAGGGACTGCCAGCTGGTGGAGATCAGTCTCTTCCCATCTGGCAAATGAGGAAAGAAGTGCTCTGAGATGTAGGGTTGGGGTGGGGTAAAGAGGGTTGGCCAGTTGTATTTCCTCATCCAGCCACCATTTGTCTGTGAGCAAATGGTATGTGTTTCTTTTGTGTCTTTTCTTCTCTGATCTTGGATAAGGGAGTATTCATAAATAGAATTGTCCGGGTAGCAACCTTGTGAATTTGGGAAATTCTGTGGCTCCATTCCAAGGTCAGTATTCAATAAGCATTTATTAGGCACCTACTATGTGTCTAAATGCTGGGGATACAAAGGCAAAAGACAGTCCCTGCCTTTAAGAAGCTTATAATCCAACGGGGAAAGATAACACATGAAAAAATGAAAGATGGGGGTGAGTATCCAGCCTGGGACCATGATGAAGTCCTATATCTAGGGTGGGAAATGATAAGGGGACTGCCCTGGGCACCCTCCTTAAATGAAGGTTGTAAAGGGAGTTCTTGGGCATCCACCTTCCACCCTCT